GGCGGGGGGCTTCGCCCCCCCCCAGCCCCTGGGCAGCCTGTTTGACGGGGCCACGAGACCCGCACGCCCCATCTGCCCCCCGGGCAACACAGATCTGCCCACAACCACTGTGTTTTGGTGGGTATTTTGGAAGCCACCAAGGATTTGATTCTCCTTCCCCACCACAAACGCTTTCCTCCTGCCACAAAAGCACGCAGAAGGCTCCTAGCCCCAGCATCCCCTAAGGCTCCCCGGATCTTTTTGCCCTCCTGCTTCCCTATAGTCTCAATCTCTTCTGTCACAAGAGGCTTTCAGGTTCATAGCAAGCGACCGTGGCCAGCTGGCTCCCATTAGGCCATGCCATGCATTTTTAATTAGCAGCACTGCTGCTCTAACGAGCACACTCAGGAGGCAGATGTTTTCACCCATGTCGTCGCTAACAGCCACGGCCCCGTGCAAAGTCGAGTTGGCCCTTTGCACAGCTGCGCTGCCGCTCGGTTATCACTGCGATGCGCTCGGGACCCGTCTGCAGGTCGCTCTGGCTCTCAGGACTTTACTCGATCCTCGGGATTAGGATCAGGAATTCAACCCCATGGCCCAATCCACGCAGGGAAACAGGCTTTCCCTGCACAGCAGGTTCCAGTCCTCTGCTCCCGCAGCTTTCTCCGTGTGCTTGTGTCTTCGTTTGTCCTAGGCTAACCAATTCCTGACCAATTCCTTGTGCCACGTGGCCAGTGTTATCAGCTCCGGTAGCTTGGAGCACCACTGTGGGCACGGGAGCCAGCCGGGCAGGCAGGACTGACCCCTCTTCCCTGCAGAACCCACCAGCCCAGCCCACAGTGCCGGCACGTGCTTGCCACGGGTGTTTTTCTTCCCACCTCAGCTGCCGGCAGCGTGGGAGGAAGAGGAGGGCGGCAGCTCTTGGCAAGCCAAGCCAGGCTCCTCCTCACTACCTGCAAGCACAGCGGTGGAGCACTTCCAAATGGGAAAGCAAATCAATGATCTGGGTGAATAAATACAGCCTCTCAGGTCGGGGTTTTGGGGGAAATCACCATTCCAGACTCCTCTCCTCTTTGCTCTCCCAGGAGAGCTGGGCTGAGCACCCAAAGCCACCAGCCCCACCAAGCACCCGTGCTGTGCCCAGCCAGCCCTGCCACCCCTTCCCGCACCCCAGCACGACAGTTTAATGACAAAACTCACACCCCGACCCCTGCCCCACACTGGCACGCTGGCAGAGGTGGAGAAGTAGGACAATGAGCCTCTTTGCCAGGGTTATATTTCCCTCTAGTCCCTATAGAAACTGGATTTGGTCTTCAGCCAGCCCAGGAAAGAGGCATCTGCTCCAGTGTAAGAAGAAAAACAAAATATTCCTTTGCCCCTGTTTTGGACCACAGAGACAGCCAGAGGAGCCACAAAACCAAAACTCCCCTCTAAGAGAAATTAAAGTCCTTCAGGCTCCCAGGGATGGGGGTTGGAGAAGCCATCACACCCTACAGTTTAAGTTTTATTCTTGCGTTTTTTTCTTTCTTTTTTTTTTTTACTCCATACTGTGATTTCTACCATTTCATCCAGGCAAGGTAGATGAAAGCAATGCAGAAGGCAAGCACATCCAAGAAACATCCACGGGGAAAATACCACACAGCCCCATCAGCTTCTCAGGGGCCGATTAGCTTTTCGTGATGCTATCTACAAATTTCAGGAGCCACACTTCTAGACCGGCAAAACTGTGGAAAAAAACGGATCTTAAAATCACGATACAGTTACACATGGGAATTCTGTAGTAAGCAATTTCCTTGAGAGATTGCTAAAGTGGTTTTCCTACCATCTCCCTCTCCTCTGCAAGGCTGCGGCGTTAACCTACAAGGACGCAGCCTCCCATTGCTTTACTCCAGTGGGAGAGCAGAGTCCACCACCAATCCCCCAAATCCAGGGCACGCACTGAGCAAGGTCCATACCGGTCAGCAGCAGGAGCCTGCTCTGGTTTGCTGCTCCAAGTGACAAAGGTGATGGCAGAGCATCCCAACGGCTTCCTATCCCTGCCCAGCCTTCCTCCGGGGACTGCGTTCCCCATGTGTAAACCTCTTTTTTCTATTAAAAAAAAGGCAGAGGCTCATTTTGCTGCCTCCAAGCAGCGAAAGGACTGAGTACCCATAGCCTTTGTCACCTAGAGATGCCCTGTGACACAGCTCGTGTCCCCAGGGAGGGCGGGAGACATAGCCCGGCAGTGCTGGGAACAGTGTCCCTCCCTCACCGCCTCCCAAAGTGAATCAGCAGCTTTTTGCCCTACCAAGGCCCCAATCCTCATTCAATTAATATCCAAGGAGGTCTTTAATCCTTTCCATTATAGGTAAGTAATAGCTGGTTCTTTGCAGAGGAGCAGGAAAGGGAGGCTTACGGTCTTGGCCATCGGGGACATGGTGACAGAGCACATCTGCCCAGCATCACGACTAGTGCTGGGAAGAGAGTTCAGATACTGGGGCTGTGGCTCCCCAGGTGATTCAGAGAGCCCCCTATTTAACAGCTATGGAGGTAAATAGGTGCTCCCAGCAGCATCTCCCACCCTTACCCCCCAAGTAAGATCCACATGGTGGATCAACAAATCCCAGGTATCAAATGAGTCAACTCCAGCTTTCCCGGTAAGGACGCCCTAATCAGCAGGAGACCTGTTCTAGCAGGGAACTGCCGGTACAAACCCACAAGGTCCATCAGATGGTGAATTGCCCATCTGTGTAGCTCAGGGGCACTAGCACTGGCTGCAGGCGCTGAAGTACAGGCAGGAGGGGACATGAGGAGCACTGATGGAAGCAGCCTCTGTTTTTTGCAGAGAGCTGGTCATTAATGCAAGAAACAAGGTGCCGGGCAGGCTGCTGGTGCCAGGCAAGGACACTGCTGGGCACGCACGGGCTGTGGCACAGCAGGAAAAATCACCTTTCCTGCTATACTCAATTATGGCTGGGCAATCGGTGCTGCAGTCAAGTCTCTAATCTCATTGATACGCCAGAAGCAGCCAAGAAACCATCTTTTTTTTCGATCTGAACTCCCAGGTGGTTCAATACTGCCCAATTCCCCTGCCGAAGCAGCAAGATCCAGACACTGCCATCTCCCTTAGCAAGAGGAAAACCGAATCTTTGTGGCAAACCCCTCGCCGTGAACTCTCCCCTTTCCACCCCAGTCTGGGTTTCATGGTCCATCTGCCTAAGCACACCAGCCTGCATCCCCAGAAGGACCCGGGGATGGACCGAGCAGGAGGGGGACCCCAACACTGGCAGTGTGGTGCCTTCACCCAGGGTTAAAATCCAGCCTTCCTGCTTACAACTAACTATCCAAGCCTGTTTCCCCACCACAAGCCATCCAATCTGCCTCCCGCAGAGCAACGCCACTCAGCAAATCTCCAGGCGTTATGGGAACCAGGGTATAAAAACATTCCCGGTGCAATGACACCAAAATTGATGCTGAAATTAGGCTGGGAACAGAACTGGCACAGTTGCTTCTAACCCATAAACTAAACCAAACGTACAACGGCCAATCACCCACACCGGTATTACACTTTGTGATCGCCTGTAGCCTGTTTTCCCTGCTTCCAGCTCTGCCCCCAGGTCTCTCCCTGCGTACCCCAACGGCTCGAGCATCGGCAACTTCAAGTGGCTGCAAACCACAGGAATGCAGCCCAGCTGTTCCCTCCTTCACCAGCACCGACAGATGTTTGTAACATGAATACCAAAGGTCTCAGCTTCCTGTTGAACACCGAAATGCTGCCCCTGCCCCAGGGAGGGGGTCCAAGCCCAGCTCCAGGGCCTTCCCAAGGCACATCCGCTGCCTGGGCCGCAGGGAGAGCGGTTGGGCAGCACCCAGAAACCACGTCTGCTCTTACAGAGCTGCCCTAAGGAGCAGAGGAGAAGGAGGAGGGAAGGAAGGATGCCTGCCCGCTCCCCAGGGACAGCCCTCAAGCAGGAGGCTTGCTGCAGCTCATGCTCACAAGGTTTTGCTCCCTGCAATGAGTTGCACAACCAGCCCCGAGACAAGGGCCGAAGCCCATGGAGCTCCCTTTGCCTGGAGACATGTGCCACATGTCTCTTCATTCCCCATCTCCTGCCCAAATGGGATGGACTGAGGCCATCTCCATCACAAAGGAAACTCAGCGTCTCCCAGGTTTCCAGGACACAGAAATACCAGCTCCGGCTCCCCATCCCCATCTGCCCAAAGAGACCCCAAATCAATGCTACTCACGTTGTACAGGACTGTGGTCCACCCTTCCATGGTGATGCACTGGAAGACAGTCAACACAGCAAAGAGGATGTTGTCAAACTGCGTGATCCCATCGTTGGGACCAATCCACTCCCGGCACTCGTAGCCTGGGGGGCAACCTTGCACTCCGCATGGATGGGGGGGGTCCAGCTCCTCTAGTTCACCTGCAAGCACACAGCAGAGAGCCAAAGGATACAGGGGTGAGAGAGAGGCAGGGGATGGGCAAGGAAAAGAGCCTGAAGGCAGACAGGCTTGGGATAAAGTGGGGCACCCCAGCGGGACTAGCCCTGGCTGCCCATAAACCGGTCCCATAAGAGATCAGGACATCCTGAGCGTGACCAGATGACACCTGGTGCACACGAAGCAAAGCGCAGGGTCTTCCAAGCCCCAGGCTTCCCACCATAGCGACGCGCACTTGCCCCGGCTGTTTTCCACCCGCGGGACGCAGCGCGGGTGCAGAGCCCTTCTGCCCACCTGAATTGTTTGTGTAGCAGGCTCGGTGCAGCTTCCCACTGTAGAACTCCAGGCCGATGATGGCAAACATAAGGATAGCAAAAAAGAGCAGCAAGCCGATCTGGAGGAGAGGCACCATGGCCTTCATGATGGATTTCAGCACAATCTGCAGGCCTGGGAGGGGGGAATAAAAAAGAGCACGGCTCAGCACGGTGCTGCAAACCCCCTGCCTGGGGCACGTCCATCCCACCCCTGGCCAGAGGAGGACAGCAAGCGGAGAGGACGGATGGTCATCGGAGAGGCCGGCAGAGCCTGGAGGGTCCCTTCAGGCAGCTGAGGACCACGGAGGAAAGCACCATCCCAGGGGAGCAGGAAGGGCCAGGCTGCGGAACGAGGCTCCAGCAGGGCTGGTTTCTGGATCTGGTCCCACCTCTGGTGTCCTGCCTGTCCTTGGTGAGACATGGCCCGTGCAGCTCTATCCCCCTCTCTGCCCCCAAGGCATGAATCCAGCACGCTGCCCAGGGCAGGAGGGACAGGAGGACTGGCGCCGGCAGCAGCCTAGTTTCTTTATTTATCCCCATGCTGGCAGATGAAATCTTGCAAAATAACCGAAATCTCCCCCAAATAAACCTCAGTCCTGAAAGGATCCACCCACCGCCTTCTGCCCAGAGAAGCAGAGCTGCCGGCAAGCCCTGGCGAGCCACCTAGCCCAGCCTTGTGCCAACCCAGAGCAGGCTGAGCGCGGGGAAATGCCACCCGGGGACACCGAATGCTGCCATCCCACAGTGCCCTCCCCTGCGGGTTACCTAAGGCATGGCTGGGAAGATGGCACATACAGTGCCCGCTCCGTGGGAAGGTCTGTCCCCCTCTTCCCAGATTGCACCCTATGTCTCCGAGGTGGCACGAGGACCCCTCTCGCTCTGAAGGACATCAGGAATGGATGCAGACACCCCGGGAGGAGGACCAGGAGCATGCAACTTACTGGGAATGCCAGAGACGAGCTTCAGAGGTCTGAGCACACGCACAGCCCGCAGCGTCCGCAGGTCCACGTGGGTGTTGAAGTGTGTCCCAGCAGTGGCGAGGATGCTGTGGGCAGACAGGCAGAGAACAGAGTCACCCTCAGTCACCCTGATGCCAAGAGCCATGTTCTCAGGCCAGGCTGGGGGGAGCCATGAGGAGCACCGTGTCCCTGGGCAGATACAGAGATTCAACACCTCCCGAAGCCCATATGCCAGACAGCTCCGTTTGATGCTGGAACCAAAGCTCATGGGCCACTCTGGACAGCCAAAGCCACCCCAGGGGTCGTCCAGCCCTGGCAGTCCCACATTGATGCCCACTGTGTGCGAGGAGGGCTGGGGACACACCGCAGCACTGGTCATCACCCATGCCGTGCAGTCAATGCTGCAGACATAGCGCTCATCGCAGCTCGAGGGTTTAAACTCCCTTCCAGGATCTGGACCACAGATGGTGCCCTAGAGATGGAGGTGGCTCCCCTGATGGTCACCTGTGCTCCCCTAATGGTCACCTAGGCTCTCCTGGCAGCACCTCCAGCCGTCAGCTCCTCTTGCTTTTTCCACATGTGGAGCTTCCTCGGAGCCCCACCTCTGAGATTGTTGAGAAGGAGCCGAGAACCTCACACGCATTCAAAAATCTATACTAATGAAAGTTTGATGACCTTAGAAGGCAAGCGGCAGGCGCAGGAAGGACTCCAGAGGTTTGCTTTTAAAACACAAAGATTTTTTTTCAAGCCTATCTCCAGAAAACAAATTGGGGCAGAACGGAGTCTGGCAGTGGAAATACTCTAAGGCTCCGGTACTTGCTGAGAGGATGGGGATGGTGCGGCTCGGGGATGCTGGCAGAGCCACGGGAGCACAGACAGTGGTGCCGGAGCTCATGGGCTCCTCTCCAATTCGGGCTCGGTTCTTGAGGTGCTGGATGAGGAGGAAGAGGAGGAAGAGCTGGAGTGGAGGAGGAGGAGGGGATGGGAGAGGGGGGGATGGGGAGGAGAGTGGGACAGAGGGAGGCAGCAACCTCAGGGCTGTTTGCAGCAATCCAAAAACTGCGGGAAATTGGGTCATTGTTCCACTAATTCATCTAATTACAGGCCAGAGCGGCTCTCTGGCGCGCGAAGCAATTAGCACTCTTTCTCTCCCCCTCTCCCCGAGGTACGGCAGGTACCGACCTGCCCCTCCAGAAAGGCGGGTGGGTTTCCTAGGATACCCCGGCAGCAGAAACCCTGTCACCACCAGCAAACCAAGCTGTTTCAACTTTTCAGCTCCTTTCCCTAATCTCCTCTTCCTCCCTGCCCTGGCACAAGCCATTGGCCGCAAGGCCTGGCCCCTCAGCGGTTGAGACGTGTCGCTCCGACATCGCCCACGACTCCCTGTCTACCAGGCTGCTTGTCCGCAACATAAATGGGGACCTTCTTCCCTTGATGGTACTTTCCCTTCCCCCATTCCCCTTCGGCACAGTCCCCGCTCCCCACAGGGCTGACAGGAGAGGAGAAAAGGGACTTAATCAATTTGGGAGCACCCAGAAGCTGGGGATTGCTGCACTGTTAAATCAGTTGTAAGACCAAAATCAATAAGCACGACAAAGCACAGCCACACGGGAGAGAGGAGAGCACAGGCACTTGCATCTCTTCCGTGCCACCTGTCAGCAAGAGCAGATGAACCCAGTGCTCCTCAAAACACCAGCGTAGAGGACACGCTGGAGACCCCAAGACCCTCCTTCAGCTTTTGCTCCTCATGTCCCGACACCCAGTGTCCAATCAGCCTCCCAAAGGGATGAGGGAAAGGTGTTTGCAGCCCCCTGCGCTGACTCCAGCCAGGGCTGAGCATCTCTAGGAGATCAGGGATGCTCCTGGGCTGGATGCAAGCCCAGTGCCTTGAAAAGCCCGGCTGGAAGGCTCCTGGCAGCAGAAAGGGATCGACAGCTCTCTCCCACCACCACAGAGCAGCACGAGCCATGGTCCTACACGGCTGGGCAGAGGGATGGAGGTGGAGCCGTGACGGCTCCCAGCCTCACCGCGCATCTCATCCCCGGGGCAGGACCACCACCACGGCAGCGGCAGGGAGCAGAGCGCCCCGGCTGCAAAGTCCTCTGCTAACCCAGATTCGTTTGAAGGGCTCGGGAGCTGGCGCGCCGAGCCTCTCGGCAAGGTTCAGGCGATTCCAGGGCGCCGCTCCGCCACGCTCCAAATTAGCTGCTAAGAATGGGACTCCGCTGCGGCAAGGTGACGTGCTCCTTGTCCTCGCTGGGTGCCGGGGGACGGGAGCAGAGCGCCCCGGCTGCAAAGTCCTCTGCTAACCCAGATTCGTTTGAAGGGCTCGGGAGCTGGCGCGCCGAGCCTCTCGGCAAGGTTCAGGCGATTCCAGGGCGCCGCTCCGCCACGCTCCAAATTAGCTGCTAAGAATGGGACTCCGCTGCGGCAAGGTGACGTGCTCCTTGTCCTCGCTGGGTGCCGGGGGACATCACCAGCTCCCTGGGAAGGAGGTTTGAGCAGACCACCAGAGCCAGGCAGTTGCACTGCAGACGTGTTTCCCGATTGACGACAAAGATGATCCCCCCACACACCACGAAATACATCAGTTCACAGGCACAGCCAACGCTCCCGGCAAACTCATCCATCCCAGAGCCTCTGAGCAGCCCTGGACCACCTTTAGAGCGATTGAGGTGGTTGGAAAAAGCCAAGCAAGCTTCCAGGCACACGAGGATGGCTTCTGTCCGCTCTCCCCAAGCCCTTCAGTGGCTCTAAACAACAGACCCCAGCTCTCCCCAACAGCCCGGCTTCGCTCCTTCCCACAGACACCACCGCCACGTTGCCACTAATAATAAACGCAATGCTGGAAACACACCTTCCTGCTTGAGACTTCGGCATCTCACCTGCTAATTGCTTATTAACCCTCTAAATATGCCTTTTTCTTTTTTTTTTTTCTTCCTTTTTTTTTTTTTTCCTCTTCAGAGAGCCACCCCTATCACCCAGCACAACCCCTTTCTGATTTATTGATATATTGACATAAATATTAAGATTTCTTACAGCTCCTCGAGACGCACGGCACAGAGACAGGACTCCGGCTGTGACAAACCTTTGTGCTGACACAGGGTGGCAGCTCCGGTATCTGTAGAACAATTTAAACCCTTTTCGAACACTTACAATATCCACGTCTGATGTGCTAATAATTATTCTTTATTTTTAGGCAAGGACCCAAACTAAAATTACTTCTCACCCATCCAAGTTATTTGAAAAAGCTGCCAGATTGGGCTATAAAAATCCCAATGATCTCATGCTTTTCATCATATGTACTGGAGGAAAAAAAAAAAG